GGGAGGAGGGAGGAGGAGGAGGAGGGAGGAGGGAGGAGGGAGGGAGGAGGGAGGAGGGAGGAGGGAGAAGGGAGGAGGGAGGAGGCAGGAGGAAGGAGGGAGGAGGAGGAGGAGGAGGAGGAGGAGGAGGAGGAGGAGGAGGAGGAGCCCGGGATCCTGCACGGACGGAGGGTCCTCTGGCGCACTCTGGCAGCCTCTCGGAAAGGGAGGCGACTAGGATCGGGATCGGGGTCGGGCTCGTGGGAGTTCGCCTGCTGCCGCGAGGAGGAGGAGGAGGAGGAGGAGGAGGAGGAGGAGGAGGAGGAGGGAGGAGGAGGGAGGACGAGGAGGAGGGAGGAGGAGGAGGAGGAGGGAGGAGGAGGGAGGACGAGGAGGAGGGAGGAGGAGGAGGAGAAGGAAGGAGGAGGAGGAGGAGGAGGAGGAGGAGGAGGAGGAGGGAGAGAGGGAAGGGTGATGGGAAGGATAACGAGGATCAGGAGGAAGAGCATCGAAGAGGCCTGCGGCGAGTCAGAGCCGCCCTCTGCCTTTGATAGGAGCCCATGTGGCCAAATGGTGTGGAAACGCCTCGCACGTGTGGCCGATGACCAATGTAAAACTAACTCTATTGTGGCCGAATTCACAAGGCCCTCTTGGGCTGTTTGGGAGTTGTCTTGGGGCTCTTCAAAGACGGCCCTCCTGGGCCTTTTGGGGGGCCTCCTGGGGCTCTCTTAGGCCGTCTTGGGGTCTTCTTGAGCTGTTCTGAGGCCCTCTTGGGTCGAGAGCCCCGAGGCCATTTCGGGGGTCTCTCTTGGTGCCCTCTCGAGCAATCTTGGGGCCAACTTTGGAGCCTCGCGGATCCCTTTTGGGCTGACTTGGCCGTGCTGGCCTTTCGTAAGACCAAGAAAACCACAATGCTAAGTTGTGTTGGGTTTTTCAGGGGCCTCTGGGGAGCTCTCTTAGACTGGCTTTTGGACATCTTAGGATCATCCAGGCCAATGTTGGAGCCTTTGTGGGCTGTGTCTCGATCCACGCGGGCCATCTTCTGGACATCTTGGACCGCCTCGGCTCCATCTTGGACCGTCTTAGGGTCCATCTTGTTGCAATTTCAAACAACATTGGGGCTTGGCACAGTGGGGCCGGCCCCCAGGTAACGCATTTGTGGTCAGGGTCGCGGCAAAGCGGGCCCCTTCCCCAGCCCCCTACTACATGTGTATTGCATATTGCCAGGAAGCTGAAAACAAACATGGCTGCAATCACATGTTGAACAACTGGAGTCCACGCGCTGGCTACACATGCGAAGACTTGGCGCACCTGTGCATCTGCGAAAGTTCGCAGCCCCCCCCCCCCAGGGGATGGCGAGGTCGCATCTGAACCTCCGTATGACGTCGCTGCGCTGGGCCACCCAGCAGCCCTCGAAAGTGGCACGAGCTTCGCCGCTCACGGCCCCCAGGGGATGGCGAGGTCGCATCTGAACCCACGTCGGGCGTCTCTGCACTGTGCCACACAACAGCCCTCGACAGTAGCAATCGTGGTGCGTAGACCCCAAGGATGGCGAGGTCTATCTGGATCCCCGTGTGATGTCACTGCGTTGGGCCCCCCAGCACCCTTCGAAAGTGGGGACAATTTTGGAGTTCGCAGCCCCCCATGGATGGGAAGGTGGATTCCCTCCATATGACATCACTGCGGTGCGCCACCGAAAGGCACCCAGAAGTGGCGTGAGTTTCGCCGCTCGCAGCCCTCAAGGATGACAAGGGACAGTTCCGCAGAGCGCAGCCCAAAAGGGATGGTGAGGTCGATCCGGATCCCCGTGTGAAGTCACTGCGCTGGGCCCGTCACTAGCGCTCGACAGTGGCGATCGTTTTGCAGTCCGCAGCCTCCCAGGGACGGCGAGGTCGAATCTGAATCCCCGTATGACGTCACTGCACTGTGCCCACCAACAGCGCTGGAAGGTGGAGAAAGCTGAGCAATTCGCAGCCCCCAAGGATGGCGAGTCTTCATTGGGATCCCCGTGTTACGTCACTGCGCTGGGCCTACCAGTAGCGCACGAAACTGGTGACAGTTTCGCAGTTCGCAGCCCCCAGGGATGATGGGATCTAACCTGTTTCCCTGTATGACGTCACTGCGCTGGGACCCACAGCAGCCCTCGAACGTGGCGATGGTTTCGCACTTCGCCCCCAGGGAGGGCGAGGTCAACCCTGCGACGTTACTGCGCTGGGCATACCAGCACCCCACGACACTGGCGACGGTTTCGCAATTCGCCGTCACCCCGTGAAGGCGAGGCCCAATCAATCTGAGCCCCGGTATGACGCCACTGCGCTGACCATCCAGCAGCCCTTGAAACTGGCAACAGCTGCCCTGTTCGCAGGCCCGCAGGCATGGCGAGGTCTAGCCTAAAATACCATATGGCGTCGCTGCTCTGGACCTTCAGAAGCCCTCAAAAATGGCGACGGCTTCGCAGGTCGCAGACCCAAACCCAAGGCCACGGCGAGGTCGAAGTTGAATCCCCGTGTGAAGTCACTGCGTTTTGCCCCCCTCCAGCAGCGCTCAAACATGACGACATAATTCACTTTGCAGCCCCCACAACGTGGCGAGGTAGGAGGCATGTGGGATGTAGACAGGGCGTAGGAAGCAGACAGGAGGTAGGAAAGGAGATAGGAGAGAGCAGGTGGGAGGCAGGAGAAGCAGAAGAAGACCGTGATGGTCTGCATTACAGAAGAACCCAACTGACGGCTGGGGATCAACTTCAACGACTACACGACTGGGGGCCGATCGATCTCAAGATATGGCTCCCCCCTCGCCGCGCACATTCGCTTTAAAGGCCTCCTCCCTCTGCATGGCTAGATGGCTGGTCGTTGAAAGCGTTTTCGTCTCTGCACTGCTCGCACTGTTTTTGTACATTTGCAACGATTGCGTGGAGGCTGGAAACCATGAAGGCAAGATTTCTCCTGCCCGTTTAAAAACCTGTCCTGGCCCCATGGCAAAAACACCTGGAAACCCACACATTGGAAAACCACCGACGCCCATCCCGAATATATTCTGCCAGCCTCCCCGTAGAAGAATGGAAACAAACTTGTGTTCCAAATGAGCCTCTCGCTTGACTTCCCCATATTCTACGATTCGACGTTCGACATGGGGTCAACAGTCACACTGATGGAAAACTTGGCCGTTTTCGCATACGGCTCCCATTTGAAGCATCCAAGAGCATGCACAACTTGATGGCCCGCAGCTCCAAACATTGCAAGCGTAATACAGGTGGAGGGCGGCAGCTTCTCAGATGGGGGCTCTCGAGCGCGACTCCCGCACATCTTGAAACGTTGTAGACGTTCAACCGATGGGGGGCAGATCCTCCTCGAGACGCGGCTATCGCTGGACAACTCGCTGAACTTCATCGTGAGACATGTCTGCGCTCTGTCTCGCCAGTAGCGATGGAGCGTGGCTCCCATGCAACGCGGGGTCTCGCCTGATTGGCACGCGTACTGGGCGCTCGTCATTCACAAGGGACGCTTCCCGCAATGGGACGGAATTGCTGCAAAGACGTATGAGAACCAGATTTGGTGCGGGATGGTCTATTGCAACATCGTTGATGCGTACTGGGTTTACCTTGGCACATCCTTCTCATCCTGTCCTGGGCCCTTCCTCCTTGGCTCACTCCCCTCGCCACCTCCTCCTCCTCCTCCTCCTCCTCCTCCTCCTCCTCCTCTTCCTCTTCCTCTTCCTCTTCCTCCTCCTCCTCCTCCTCGTCCACCTCCTCCTCCTGCTCTTCCTCCTCCTCCTTCCTGAAGACCCAGGGTCCTTCTCCCCGTCCCCTGGCGCGCGGAGCGCGCCAAGGGGGCGCTGCTGCCAGGGAGGGAGGCCCACCGCCAATTCAACAAATCCGCGTGGACTCCCGAGACCGAAAACTGACGCAGCGCTTCTCTCGATTCCCTTGCCGCCCTCGCGGCCCCGCGGCGCGCGGCCAGCGCCTCGCCTTCGCGCCGCCGCCCCCGGAGAGAAGGCACCCCTGCGGCCCGGGCCGCGAGGCGCGGGGCGCCCCACAGTTCTGCGCTCCCGGCCGCCTCCCGGCGCAGGCGAAGCCAGGAGCGGGGCAGAATGAGATCGGGCAGAAGCGGGGGCCTCTGAAATCCGAGGGATTTCTCTTTCTTTTTGTTCCTCCTCCTCCTCCTCCGGCCGCGCGGCCTCTCCCGGCGCTGCAGAGGCGGCTCGCGTCGAGCGTCTTCGCCCGGCTTCGCGCCCCCAGGGGCAGAGCTGGGGGAACAAAAAGTTGCATAAACATGAAAATTCGGAGGTCCGCGCGGATTTCTCGGATCGGCGCTGGGGCCCCCTGGCGGCGCCTCCGCTCCGAGTTTTTACGTTTATGCCACTCATTGTTCCCCTAAGAGGGGCCGTTCCAGAGCGTCACAGAACGCTGTGAACGCTGTGGAGCAATTTGTCCCGTCCCTGGGCCTGTCTGACCTATCCTCGCTATCCTCGCCCTCAGCGCGACAATGCGAATCCTTCGCCACAGAAACCAGATCAGGATAAAAAAGATAACAGAGGCCCGTCTTCGCCACCAGCCCGGTCACATGCCTGTCTCGAGGGCAGGGAGGGGCCTGGAGGGAGGGTCTCCCTTTCTCGGGAGCGGCCAAGAGGGGGGTGTCCAAGAGGGGGGGGATGCAAATCATGACCGGCGGCACGTGCGCGGCCCAGCGGGGGGGCCAGGGGCGTAACGAACCAAGGAGAGGCGCCATGAAATCTGGGGAGATATCATGGCCCACGCCATGATATCCCCTCCCCTAGTCTTAAGTCGGGCCTGTCCCCCTGCAAGGGGATTCTCGATGAAAAAAAACTCAAAAATAGTCAAAAAATAATCAACAAATAGTCCGGGGACTATTTTGGGAGTATTTCTTGACCTTTTTGGAGTACTGTTGGTGTATTTTTTTCCGTCGAAAATCCCCCTGTAGGGGGACACGCCCGACATAAGCCTGGTCATCACCTCCCTCTTTGCCGCCCCCGAAAGGGGTGGACGGGCGGACGCGCCCCGCCTGCCCAGCGCACATCACCGGGCAGGAGTGGTCGGTGCAGATGTCCGCGATCGCCCCGGCGAGCAGGTTCAGCTCGTTGAAGACCTCGTTGGTGGCCACCGCCAACCACTCCTCCTGGGGGGCGGAGAACGGCGACGGCGCCCCCCCCTGCCATCTAGAGGCCTCCCAGATGGGGTCGGAGTAGATGGGGTCGAAGGATCGCGCCGCATCGCCCATGCATCGCCGATGTATCGGCGATACATCGGCGATGCATCGGCGACGTCGGCGTGGGGAAACACGGGCTCCACATCGATCCGCAGCGTCGATGCATTGGCGATGAGGCTCGATCCTTCGACCTCATCTACTCCGACCCCATCTAGGAGGCCTAGACCATCCCAAACGTAGCCACCCCCCCCGAACTCCCCAGAAAAACAACGGAAGCAGGCAGAGCTGTCAGGCACAGCCTTCCGGAGGTCCGCGCGGACGCGTTGGGTCAGCGCTGGGCCCCTTCGCCTAGCGCGCGGAACGCGCCTGGGGGCGGCGCCAGAGGCGCCGCGAAAGGGGCCTGGCGCCGGTCCCCAAAGAATCCGCGCGGACCTCCGAAGATATGTTTTTAAGCCGTGCCTTTTTTTAGGTCGGGCATGTCCCCCTACAGGGGGGATTTTGGCAGAAAAATAAGAATCCCCCCCAGAATGCTCAAACATAACCCAAAATAGTAAAACAAATGCGTCCCCAGGGTATCTTTCTCCTGTTTTTGAATTTTCCTCCTGTAGAAGGACACTTGGCGGCGCGCGCAAGGGGGTGGAGGGAGGGGGGCGGGCTTCTTGGAAGGAGGCTGCTTCTTAGAAGGCGCTGGCCCTACACCTGTAGAACAGGCCCGCGCCTTCTGAGAAGCAGGGGTGCTTCTAAGAAGCCCTCCCCCCTCCCCCCCACCCCCCTCTGCGCGTGGCTGAGACACGCCCGGCCTAAGCCGTGTCTTCTTCCCCGCACGCCCCCGGGCGCGCTCCCCGAGCGGGCCCGCCGCTGGGCGCGCCTGCGCTGCACCACCGCGCGGCGGCGCTCCGGCCGCCTGGGGCGGGCGCCCGTGGCGAGACTGCGCCTGCGCGGAGCTGGGGAGAGGAGGCGATTGGCGGCAATGTTAAGTCGGGCCTGTCCCTCTACAGGGGGATTTTCGACGAAAAATAAAAAATACCCCCCAAATGCCCCAAAAAGGTCAGAAAATAATCAACATATAGTTCCCAGACTATGTTTGGACTATTTCTTTTAATTATTTTGAGGGTATTCTTTATTTTTCGTCGAAAATCCCCCTGTAGGGGGGACAGGCCCGACTTAACGGTAATGCAATGGAATGAACTGCCCATTCGGGGAGAGTGCACAGCACTAAATGCTGAGCTCAGGCTCAAAGTACTGACCTCGAGCTGAGGCCTCCTCAATACATCTTCTCTCCATGAGAGCAGCCAGCCGCAGCTCATATGGAGGGGCGGCCCCTGATGCCGAGGGAAAACTCACTACCGTAGAGTCAGGAACCGCAAGACTAAGAGGGGGGTGGTGGTGGTTGGCGGTGCGCGCAAAGGTGGTGGGGGGAGGGGGGAGGGCTTCTCAGAAGGAGGCTGCTTCTGAGAAGGCGCCGGCCTTCCATCTATGGACGAGGCCCGCGCCTTCTGAGAAGCAGGGGGGCTTCTACGAAGCCCTCCCCCCTCCGCCCACCCCTTTCTGCGCGTGGCTGAGGGGAGGGGGCCGCGGAGGGAGGAGCAGAAAGAGAGAGAGAGAGAGAGAGAGAGAGAGAGAAAGAAAGAGAGCGGCGCCGAGGGTCAAACTCGGCGTTCAGGATGGAGGCTGAGGATGCGAGGCCGCGGAACGGCGCGACGGGCCAAGGCTGCGCGCGACCGTGCCAAGAAGGAGATGTCGTATCCCTCGAGGCTTATGTTTTTTGATCTCAAGGCTATGTCCTGGCCACGGCTTAAGACATGCCTTGGGGGAGTGGCACTTTCATATACAGCCTTTTCACAGGGCAGAGTGGCACTTTCACAACGGGGTAGAATAGTGAAAGTGCCCTTTTGTGCGGGGGGGCGAGGGGCCGCGGAGCGCCTCGGAGAGGACAATCCTGGGGTTAAACAACCTCCTCCTCCTCCTCCTCCTCCTCCTTCCTCCTCCTCCTGCTCCTCTTCTGTTTCTGTATTTTCTGACCTTGCAAAGAAAAACCTCCTCCTCCCCCTCATATTTTTTCCTCCTCCTCTTCTTTTTGGGAGTACTGTTCTCCTGTTCCCCTCGTCCTCCTCCTCCTCCTCCTCCTCCTCCTCCTCCTCCTCCTCCTCCTCCTCCTCCCCCTCCCTCCGACGGCGACCGCGGCGACGACCCCCCCCCGCGCGCGCGCGACGACCAGCGGCGACGGCGGCGAGCGACGGCGACGGTTTGCCAGCCCTCGTCGCCACGGCTGGGATCTCCTCGGAAAATCTTGGTCATGACCGCGGCCACGGCGATTGCGGCGAGCGACGGCGAACGTTTTTTGGGGGGCCTCTCGAGGCCCCCATCGTCGCCACGGCTGGGATACCTTCGAAATACTGGTCAGAACGCGCCCCTGGGGATCGATGACGAGCGGCGGCGACGGACGACGACGCCGACCCAGAGGAGGAGGAGGAGGAGGAGGAGGAGGAGGAGGAGGAGGAGAAGTAGGAGGAGGAGGGGGAGGAGGAGCAGGAGGAGGAGGAGGAGGAGGAGGAGGCGCACGCGCGACGACCCAGCGACGACGACGATCGACCCCACCCCCACCGCCAGGGGCGAAGGGGAGTGACAGACCGGAGCCAGGAGAAGGAGGGAGGAGGCAACACGCGCAGCAGCCGTGGAAGGAGCAGAGAGCGGAAGACGAGGGGAGGGGCGGTGGGGGTGTTATCCTCCTCCCCCTCCTCCACACCTCCTCATCCTCATCCCTGCTCCCCCTTTCCCTCCCATCCCTCACCTCCCTTCCTCCATCCCAACCCCGTCACACCATCCCCTCCCTCCATCCCTCTTCCCAGAGACTCCTCCCCTCATCCCTCCCAGAGACTCCCCCCCTCCTCCCCCGTCTCTTTCCCCTCCTCCCTCCCAGAGACTCCTCCCTCCCAGGGACTCCTTCCCCTCATCCCCCCATCCCCTCCATCCCCCCTCGTCGCTCTCTCGTGCGTGGGGTGGGTGCGGCGCGCGGAGGGCGGTGCCGCAGAGAGAAGGGTGGGTGCGGCGCGCGGAGGGCGGGTGCGGCGCGCGGAGGGCGGTGCCGCTCGCGCGGAGGGTGGGTGCGGCGCGCGGAGGGCGGTGCACGACGACGACGACGACGACGACGACGACGACGATGACCACGACGACGACGACGACGACGACGACGACGATGACCACGACGACGACGACGACGACGACGACGACGACGACGACGACGACGACGACGACGACGACGACGACGACGACGACGACGACGACGACGACGACGACGACGACGACGACGACGACGACGACGACGACCCCCCCCGGACGCGCGTGCGCGAGGAGGAGGAGGCGGCGACGGCGGCGGCGACAGTTTCTTACGATTTCTCGCGGTTTGGGGCCTCTTGAGGCCCCCATCATCGCCACGGCTGGGTTCGCTTCGAAATCCTGGTCAGAACGCGGCCCTCGGAAGGACGAGCAGCGGCGGCGATGGCGACGGCGACGGCGACGGCGGCGGCGCCCTCTTGGGCCCTTCTGGGCCCTCCTGGGGCTTCCTGCAGCCTGGGGCATCCTGGCAGCTCCTGGGGGTGGGCCCTCCTGGGCCCTCCTGGCTTTCCTGGGCCCTTCTGGATGGGCCCTCCTGGTCCTGGGCCCTCCTGGATGGGCCCTCTGGGGGGCCTTGCTGGGCCCTCCTGGCCCTCCTGGGCCCTCCTGGGTTCTCCTGGCCCTCCTGGGTACAATGATCCGACGCGGTGTCGATGTTTCTTAACGCATGATGCATGTTGTGCTGTCATGCTGTTCTGTGGTGGTATGTTCTGTCAGATGTTTTGTTCTGTCGTGTCATGCTCTGTTCTGCCATGCTCTGTTCTGCCGTGTTATGCTATGTCGTCTTATGCTCTGTCATGTTTTGCTCTGGTATGTTCTGTGATGCATCGCGAAAAAATCGCGACGTCAGGTGGTCCAAGGGGGCCCAAGGAATCCAAGGAAACCCAAGGCCCCAGGAATCGAAGGATCCAGGAAGGGCCAGGGCCCCAGGAATCCAAGAAAGCCCAAGGCCCCAGGAATACTCCAAATCTGGGACGACCCTGAGGGCACCAGGAATCCAAGGCAGCCCAAGGCTAGGGAAGGCTGGATGGGGGGAAGGGGGAATGGGAGGAAGGGTGAGAGGAGGGAGGGAGGGAATGGGTGGGAAGGAGCATAAAGGTGGGAGGGCAAGGGGAGAGGGAAGAGGAGGCAGAGAAAGACAGGGGTGGACAGGAAGAGAAAGAGAGAGAGAGAGAGAGAAAGGGAAGGGGAAGGACGATCCCCCCTCGGCCACCTGCCACGCCCCTTGCAACGTGTCGAACCAGAAATGTGGGCAGTTGCCAGCTAGCTCGCAGCCGCCCTCGACTTGGGCCCATCTCTCTCATTATCACTCCCTCTCTCTCTCTCTCTCTCTCCCTCTCTCTCTCTCTGTCTCTCCCTTTCTCCTCTCCCTGTCCCTGTCCCTCTCTCCATCTCTCTCCCTGTCCCTCTCTCCCTCTCTCTCCCTCTCGCCCTCTCCCTCGCAGAGGGTGAGAGATCGCAGCGGCGACGTCAGATGCCAAGCGTGATGACAATGCTTAGGGATATCATGATGATGATGGCGAAGATGATTATGATGACGACGATTTTCTTTGAGCTCGCAGCCCGGTTTGCAGCCACGTGTGCGCAGGCGCTCAGCCCAGCACAGCTCCACATGCCCTTAAACGAAACGGTGCAGCCAAATTCCCAACTATTGCCAGCCTCATTCATGGGCATTGCTCTCCTTTTTGTTTGTTGCGCGCCCTACGCTTCGCCTCCCTCAAATTCTTCTTGTCCAGCACCTGCCGCAACCGAATGCCAGCACTATCACCAGGGGCCGGCACATACTTGAAAGGAAGCACATTTGGGTTCTGGTCGTGGCTGGAGCTACCATGCTCTGGTTCACTTACAAGTTG